CATCCCCCCGCCTCCCCCCTTTAAAATCTAAATCTTCAATGAAGAAAACTAAAACCTTGAAGAAAACAAGATTTGTCGTGACAAAGAACTCAAACAAAGAAAATTGGATTGAAAATCGCAAATCAATTTGGAGTTAACAACAAAATGAGTGTACTGAGTGTACACAACACTCACTACACTCATTTTACTTAGGAAAGAAACTTTTCAGGATTTTGATAAACTTTAACGCTTGATCTCGATATCCGATATCGGCACTTGTAAATTTGAGGATCAATGCTTGATCCATCAATTTAAGTTAAATCTGCGTGCATAAAGAAGATCAATGTTTGATTACGATATAAAAATATTAGGCCAAAATATCTTTGCAAAAATTAAAATTCTCTTTTCAGGACAGTGTTGACGTAAATTCAAGTGACCCAGCATCTATATCTATACTTTGCTTATCCGTCTGTCCGTTTGTATCAAAACGGCTGAACCGATCGGCCCCAATATTTTTGCGAAACCTCGCGTGACCACGGGGAAGGTTCATGGTTGATCGAATTTTCAAAAATTAGCCTCCATCAAAATTCTACTTTTGAAAATATACTAAATTCACGGTTTATAAAATTCGCGAAATTTTTTTTTACAATGTTATTATTTACAAAGCGAACATGTTCACAATTGAAATAGAAGATGGACGCGAAGCGACCTAAAAGCCTAGTTCATTTTTTAAAAAAAGGAGTTGCATGATCAATAATTCTGCAGACAAACTTTTTTTTTTATACTTTTTATACTTTTTATACTTTTTAGAAATGAAAATGGAAATCCGAGGTTTAAGCACAAACTCAATGTCAGTATCTTATTTTCGCAAACACTTATTGCTTTAAAAATGAATTACTCCTTGACTCTAATCGGTAGCAATGATGACAATAATCAAGAAATCATTACATCAAATTATATATTTTCTTAATTGTTAAATTCCTGTGGCATTGATTTGTTGTCTACAAGAAGGAGTTTTTCCCAGAGATACATTTCTGGTTTCTGAACAGTTTTCGGCCTAAATTAATATATAAGATATGATAATTAAAGAATTAAAAACATTTTATTATTTAAGGAAATTTATGGAACGTGGTGAGAAATATTGCCTAACTGCAGAAATTACCCAAAGTGAGGTAAATATTATATTACAGGGTTACCCTGAAAGGATGAGACGACCTGAGTGATATGATTTAGCGATCTTGATGTTAATATAATTCTCAGCATAAATTTCGTACAGTCGTCTCTGAAGTCTCATCCTTAGTGGGTAACTCTGTAATAACAGGTTTATGTATTTTGAGGGAATGATTTTGGACCAATAAAAATGGCAAGATTTCTTTTACCTTTTAACCCAAGTAATCCAATTTAGTGGGGAAAAACTAAGAATTCCAATAAACATGGGGGGGGGGGGAAATAAATGTTTTGAGGTAGGGGAGAGGAGCATATCCATTTCTCTGTACATTGATGGAAATGAATGTAAAGGCTAAAACAAGAAAATACCTATCTAAGGGGTTATCAAGAATTATAGATTAATAACAATACAAATATAACACTAGATGTCGTCTTTTCAAGTTTCAAGTTTTATTTTGGTTTTGTAATTCAACGCGGCATACGCGTAACTCCTTTGGGCCTCTGCCTCAGGGTTATTGTATAGAAAAAGCCCTAAATCTTGAAAAGACGACATCTAGTGCTATATCTATATTGTTATTAATCTATGATCAAGATAATTATAAGATGGCAGAATCTAAAATTACATTTTTCTATCTCATCTTAGGTCTCAGTTTTTAACTAATTTTCTAATTAAAGAAAACAAGAAATATCTAGAAGGAGAGAGAGTGTGGGGGAGGTCTACTACGAAGGTTAAAATATGTGTACTATTTTTAACCTTATCTTCTTTTCTATAACCAACTCTCGTGACATTAAGGAACAGAGTTTTGCCACTAAGATTAAAAAACTGTTCACAGTCCCAAATTGATAAAGTTTTTCCATTGTAAACATTTAAAGTTTTCTAGTATCAAATAAATCTAAAAATCGTATCAGTTACTTAAAATGAATGATGTGACTGTTTAAAAACGGGATAATACTCAAAGACCCGAGAAAAATCACAGCGTTTACCCCCATTATCGGATATTTAACTTTTTAACGCTTTTTATGATGAATCTGTCAATGTGTTTTTTTCAAAGGAATACCCTTTTTCGCCGAGAAATAATTCATTGATAAATGTATTTCCCTTTTTTAGTACTTTTAACCCAAAAGTTTCTGAATAATCGCTAGTTCAGTGATATGAGATCCTGAATTGTTTCCAAAATTACTTATATATTGTAGGAGTGAGTGTATGAGAAGGGGGGGGTTGTAAACAAAACATATACCATTGGGCTCTAAATAGCGGACTTATATGTGGGAGTCGCTCAGGGGCATATTCTGGAATTTGTCCATGGGGGCCGGGGGCTTAAATTTTTTTCTCTTTCCAGGGAGAGGGGGGCTCAGCACCCGTTGTGGTCTGAAAACCCCCTGAAATCAACAGATTTCACTGGTCCAGGGGGGAGCCAAATTCGTTAGTAATTCCTGAATAAAAATTACCTATTTGAGAATTGGTTTCTGATAATCTCCATAAACCGTTTCCTCTGATAATTATCCGGATGGTTCACAAGCTTTCCTATCTTACCCAGATACGGGGTCATACTGTACTCTCTACTCCTAAATAATAATTTTCTATTTATGATACCATACTATACTCTCTACTTCTAAATAATAATATACTATTTATGATACCATACTGTACTTTCTACTCCTTAATAATAATATACTATTTATGATACCATACTGTACTCTCTACTCCTTAATAATAATAATATTCTATTTATGATACCATACTGTACTCTCTACTCCTAAATAATAATATTCTATTTATGATACGGGTTCATACTGTACTCTCTACTCCTAAATAATAATATACTATTTATGATACAGGGTCATACTGTACTCTCTACTCCTAAATAATAATATTCTATTTATGATACGGGTTCATACTGTACTCTCTACTCCTAAATAATAATATTCTATTTATGATACGGCTTCATACTGTACTCTCTACTTCTAAATAATAATATTCTATTTATAATACGGGTTCATACTGTACTCTCTACTCCTAAATAATAATATTCTATTTATGATACAGGGTCATACTGTACTCTCTACTCCTAAATAATAATTTTCTATTTATGATACAGGGTCATCCTGTACTCTCTACTTCTAAATAATAATATTCTATTTATGATACCGGGTCATACTGTACTCTCTACTCCTAAATAATAATATACTATTTATGATACGGGTTCATACTGTACTCTCTACTCCTAAATAATAATATTCTATTTATGATACCATACTGTACTCTCTACTCATTAATAATAATATTCTATTTATGATACGGGGTCATGCTGTACTCTCTACTCCTTAATAATAATATTCTATTTATGATACAGGGTCATACTGTACTCTCTACTCCTTAATAATAATATTCTATTTATGATACGGGTTCATACTGTACTCTCTACTCCTTAATAATAATATTCTATTTATGATACGATGTCATACTGTACTCTCTACTCCTTAATAATAATATTCTATTTATGATACCATACTGTACTCTCGTCTCCTAAATAATAATATTCTATTTATGATGAGGGGTCATACTGTACTCTCTACTCCTTAATAATAATATTCTATTTATGATACAGGGTCATACTGTACTCTCTACTTCTAAATAATAATATACTATTTATGATACCATACTGTAGTTTTATTTTCAATCGCAAGACTAAAAGAATGACTGAACAATTAATTTATTTAAATAAAAATTACTCGTAACACCTTTTAACTTTATAAAAAGGGTAAAATATTATTTTACTATTTTATCAGTACCTGGGTTTGTTTAGAAACATCTTGATTAGGGGAAGTAGAGAATCAGGATTGTAATTGAATACTTTACCGTCTTCAACCTGTAACATTTGAACATAAAACAGAGTAATTATTACTAAAGGACACCCTGTCGTTTAGTGAAGTCGGGGCCGGTGCTCCGCCTCCGTTCGAAACCAATTTAAGGGTAATGTCCCCATGACCCCGGAAGGAGAACAAACCCTGTTTGCCCTTTACCTGTATCCCCTGAAAAACATTCAGTGGGTACATGCATTGAAAAGATACCCAGGATAATATATTTTCAAGAACTATTCCCCACCTAAGCGCCAGGAAAAGAGATTTTTGATTATTTCGTGAACGAAAACAAAAAATTTCAAATCAAAAGAAAAGTTTTTTCTTCTTTTAGTATTTCCACCTAAAAATCGTAAATTTTCCCCAATTAAGCATTGTAATTATCTAAACAATAAAGCTCTTCTCACATATATATATATATTTTTAAATATATTTTTATAGATGTTAGCTGTAACTGGCCAAACACACTGCTGAAATTGAACCATCAGGTTTCAAGTCAAAACATCTAATTTTTTTCTTCGGAATTTATTAATATGCAGGCTTCTGAGTTATAATCTAAATTTTCAGAAAATGCCACCTAGGGAATCTTAACTAAATCAATCTTAAAGAAATTGTAAATATCAAGTGCATTTTTAGGTCTAAACTCTATCGTAACTGTAGGTTTAAAGATCAATCAAGATAATTCTGTGTTTTTGTGATATTTTTATTAAGGCAGGGTTCCCAAATTTTGTAAAATTTTCTTAACAATCATAAGACATGTTTTAGCAAAAAATCAAAGCCTTAAGTGAAGTGTATACTTGCCCAATACTGCCTGTAAGACTTTTACGAGCCAGATTTTGACAGTCAGGCAGTTGACTTAGGGGTTTGATTTTTTGCTACAATAAGTTTCATGACTGTTAACGAAAAAGAAAAAAATTTGGAGACCATGTCATATACTGTTAAAAAAATGTCGTCAAAAAAACCAGAATAAGCAGATTAAAGTCTTAAAACGAAATTTGTGTTTAATTTAAGACTTGATTTCTACAATTTCTTAAAAATTGATTTGCTCAAAATTCCCTACGTGACATTTTCCGAAAAATTGAAAATTTAACTCAGTAGCCTGCATATAAACATAATCCAAAGAAAAAGTTTAGGTGTTCTGACTTGAAACCTAATGGTCCATTTTCAACAGTGTGCAAACGGCTGGACTAAATTGGCTGACATTTCTTAGGGAATCCATAGGACAGGAATCCTATGAGTAACATAAGCTTTAAAAAAAAAACTAGATTTTTTAACCTTCACGGGCAACGCTTGGCACTTCGGCTAGTTTGAAATAAAAACTGTTATGACCTTATCGTAAAGAAGAACAGGGTCAGCTGACCACAGAATGTTCTGATGAGTGTGATCAGACATATTGTTGTGAGATAGATCACACGTGTTCATCTAAAAAGATAGGTAAATAAACAATTGAATAAATAATTATTAAATGAATAAATTTTTAAATAAATAATAATAAGATAAATAAATAAACAAAGAGATAAATAAATAAAGAGATAAATAAATAAATAAATAGATGAATAAATAATAAATAAAAAATAAATAAAAATATAAAAATAAAGAAATCCCCCTAAAATCCTACATCCAGAAAAAAACTTTTGTCTGAGCAAAGTATTTAAGCAAAAAATAGACGGATTTCTCAGTCGCCAAAGATTAAACAAAGTTGTGAATTAGATATGTCACTTTTATACGTTGAAACCACGGATCCGGATCCAAGGGGCAAAATATCAACCAAAAACTGAAAAAAAATCTTTCGCTCTCAAAAAACAAATATAAAAACTGTTAAAAAAAAGAAAGATAGATATTACAAATATAATTTTCTAAGATCCAGATCCATTTTTTCCAGTGCGGATCCCGGATTCGTATCAAAATTAAATAAATGCTAAGGAATATACTCCAACCTGGTATGCAAAGTAGGACCACTTCCTTCCATCTGTATTCATGGATTGGGAAACTAGGGGAAACGTGAGATCAGTCAACGGGGAGAATCCTATAACAGGCAATTTAAAGGGATTGTTCATCTATTTGCGGTATATGTGCAGTTCTTTAAAGGGATTGTTCATCTATTTGTGGTATATGTGCAGTTCTTTAAAGGGATTGTTTATCTATTTCTAGTATATGTGCAGTTCTTTAAAGGGATTGTTTATCTATTTCTAGTATATGTGCAGTTCTTTAAAGGGATTGTTTATCTATTTGCAGTATATGTACAGTTCTTTAAAGGGATTGTTTATCTATTTCTAGTATATGTGCAGTTCTTTAAAGGGATTGTTTATCTATTTCTAGTATATGTGCAGTTCTTTAAAGGGATTGTTTATCTATTTCTAGTATATGTGCAGTTCTTTAAAGAGATTGTTTATCTATTTGCAGTATATGTGCAGTTCTTTAAATGAAATCTTAACTTTTTAAAAATACATGTTATACCCTAACTTTTAACTTAGAATCTCAACTAGAAGCTGTTAAAAGGGACTGTTAGCGTAATTTCAGACTGTACAGAGCGTACACTGTAATTTGCAGCAGAATACAAGTGGGTTTCGATAAGTTTACACACATATTTCTCTGTACTTGACAAACACACAAAATCTTTGAGGTTACTGTTTGAAATCAGGCATATACATCTTTGCACGGAGTCACTTGAAATTACGCTTACAGCTAATATTCTCTCTTCCATTCCTAATCCAACTGACCTAAGTAACAGGCTTGTGGAAGACACCAGGCAAAGTTTGTAAGAATACCTTTGCTTATATCCTGTTCTCTTTCTACCTACAATATAACCAGTATGAAGCGGAATGAAAATAGTCTTTATAACCAGTAGGAAACGGAATGAAAATAGTCTTATAACCAGTATGAAGCGGAATAAAAATAGTCTTTATAACCAGTATGAAGCTGAATGAAAGTCGTCTTTAAAACCAGTATGAAGTGGAAGTGAAAGTCGTCTTTAAAACCAGTATGAAGCGGAATGAAAGTCGTCTTTATAACCAGTATGAAGCGGAATGAAAGTCGTCTTTATGAAGCGAAATGAGAGTCGACTTTATAACTAGTAGGAAGCGGAATGAAAGTAGACTTTATAACCAGTATGAAGCAGAATGAAAGTCGTCTTTATAACCAGTAGGAAGCAGAATGAAAGTCGTCTTTATAACCAGTATGAAGCGGAATAAAAGTCGTCTTTATAACCAGTATGAAGCGAAATGAGAGTCGACTATATAACCATCATGAAGCGGAATGAAAGTAGTCTTTATAACCAGTATGAACGGAATGAAAGTCTTCTTTATAACCAGTAGGAAGCGGAATAAAAGTCGTCTTTATAACCAGTAGGAAGCCAATTAAAATTTGTCTATATTATGTCTTTAGATTAAAAACTTCACTAACACTTAAAAATTGAGCCCTTAGAGATTTTTATCCGTATTGTCCTTTACAACTTAGCACTTACATTTGTATTTTAAACATTTAACAAAGAAGACTTTCATTACATTTTCTCATTACTGGTAAATGGCTGTAGACAAAAAAAATAGTAAAATATTTTTAAATAATCCCCCCCGCCCTTTCTTCAACAATCAAAACAGAAATCTCCATGCATTCTAATCTATTTCTTCATTTTATTTTAATTGTCCTGAACATACAACTTACCTCCTCAGTTATAACTTTGTGTCCACCAAGAGATTTATGATTGAAAACATTTACCCTAGAAACATATTTTATATCTTTTAAGACATAAAAGGAGGTAAGAGAAAGAAGAAACTATAACAAGAAGATAGTTAATGTCCCTCTACCTTCTTTGTCATTAAAGGCACCGGTCTTTTGATATTAACATCATTTAATCCTCATGTGTTTATTTTATAAGAGTTTAGTGTCTAATCCGCAACTATTAATTAATTAATGTACTACAGTAAGTGAATATTCCTGTTCTCATGTAAGTTCTTCTGTCCTTTACTCCGTCTTGCTGTCATCTAGTGTGTCCTCCTTTACTCTATTGTGTCCTTCTGTCCTATTATGTCATCCTGACCCCTAGTGTATTTTCTTGTGTGTCCTCCTGTCCTCTATTGTGTCTTAATGTCCTCTAGTGTGTCCCCATGTCCTCTAGTGTGTCCTCCTAACCTTTACTCAGTCTTGCTGTACTCTAGTGTATCCTGCTGTCCTCTAGTGTGTCCTGCTGTTTTCTAGTGTGTCCTCCTGTCCTCTATTGTGTCTTAATGTCCTCTAGTGTGTCCCCATGTCCTCTAGTGTGTCCTTCTGTCCTCTAGTGTGTCCTTCTGTCCTCTAGAGTGTCCTCCTGTCCTCTAGTGGCATCCTGTCCTCTAGTGTGACCTCCTGTCCTCTAGTGTGACATCCTGTCCTCTAGTATGTCCTTCTGTCCTCTAGTATGTCCTTCTGTCCTCTAGTATGTCCTCCTGTCCTCTAGTATGTCCTCCTGTCCTCTGGTATATCCTCCTGTCCTCTGGTATATCCTCCTGTCCCCTAGTGTGTTTTCTTGTGTGTCCTCCAGTCCTCTAGTGTGTCCTCCTGACCTTTACTCAGTCTTGATGTACTCTAGTGTGTCCTGCTGTCCTCTCGTGTGTCCTCCTGTCCTCTATTGTGTCCCAATGTCCTCTAATGTGTCCCAATGTCCTCTAATGTGTCCTCCTGTCCTCTAGTTGTCCTCCTGACCTCTAGTGTGTCCTCCTGACCTCTAGTGTGTCCTCCTGACCTATAGTGTGTCCTCTTGTCCTCTATTGTGTCCCAATGCCCTCTAATGTGTCCTCCTGTCCTCTAGTGTGTCCTCCTGACCTCTAGTGTGTCCTCCTGACCTCTAGTGTGTCCTGCCAACCTGGTATGGTATGAGAAAAGTCCCATCTGGTTTGGTTCCTCCGGCCAGTATCCAGGTATATTAGTTCCATGCTGACATACCGTTCTCAGACCGTAGCATCTACACAATCAATCAATCAAACCGCTGGTCAATAAATCAATCAATCAGTCAATCAAGTCCTTTAACAAATATTTGTATCAGTAAATATATGCAAATCAATCAGTACGTTTTTTAGGTATCATAACTTTAAATAATCGATCAATCACTAGCTCTATCAGTGAATCAACTATAATCAATAGATTGTAATTAATCATTTAGTTTATCTACTGCAAGTGCATAATGCCAACTGACCCTCCTTGAAAATATTGCAATGCTCGATTTAAAAAGGGAACTTATCGTAGCAATCCCTATATTTGTTAAACTGAATATGCCTTCGTACATCGTGTCCTAGTTGAGGCATTGATAGTTTACGAGATTGTGTCCGAGTTGAGGCATTGATAGCTCAAGATTGTGTCCGAGTTGAGATATCGATTGTTCCTGGTAAAGATAGATTGTGTCTGGTTTGACATTGATAGTAAAGTGAAACTAAATTGTACCTGGATAGATACGGGTCTGAGAGCAGTTTATGGAGTTGGGTATTTACTACAACCTTATATCCTTTATCTGTTTAATACTGTGGACGCTATTGTCGTTTAGAAGTGTTTAATTCTGATAATTCCTACATGTTTTCCTGCAGTAGAAATGCCAAGTTACTTTTGTAGAGAAACCACGATTTAAGTTTTCAAAATAATTTATTCTCAGGCATTGCAATCTCTGCATGGTCCTTTGAGATAACGCAACAATCAATCAATTAACAAATTGAGCCAAGATGGTCCTCTTATACTAACCTAGGATCGTAGTCTACAATGGGAACAGAAATATTAGTACAGAGTGCGGAATCCCGGGAAACAAACTCAGATAAAGGATTCTCATGTCGGACTTGGACAACTAAAGATTAAAAAAACATAATTATGGACTTTTTTTGCACTTTTATTATTGCAGGTTTTTTTTCGGCGATAAAAAACAAATATTGCATTTGGTTTGGTCATAAAATAGACATTATACAATAATACAGGGCATTTGGTTTGGACAAAAAATAGACATTATACAATAATACAGGGCATTTGGTTTGGACAAAAAATAGACATTATACAATAATACAGGGCATTTGGTTTGGTCATTAAATAGACATTGTACAATAATACAAGGCATTTGATTTGGTCATAAAATAGACATTATACAATAATACAGGGCATTTGGTTTGGTCATAAAATAGACATTATACAATAATACAGGGTATTTGGTTTGGTTATAAAATAGACATTATACAATAATACAGGGCATTTGGTTTGGTCATAAAATAGACATTATACAATAATACAGGGCATTTGGTTTGGTCATAAAATAGACATTATACAATGATACAGGGCATTTGTTCAATATATATAATATATTTCTCTAACAAAAGCCTAGGCCCCCCCTGATCCCTCTATTTCTTCTAGAAAATAAATTTCCTTCTATCTAACCTGAATTATGTTTGATCTGAAGAGCCCTCTCATAAGGTTCTTTTACTTTTTCATCGCCAAACTCTTTAACTTGATAGGATACCCTAGCCCTAGAATTAAACAAGATCTTAGGATCTGAATCTACTCAGTAAAAATACTAGGTCTCAGGTATCCAACTCAGTAAAAATACTCGGTCTCAGGTATCCGGCACCACAAAAATACTAGGTCTCAGGTATCCGGCACCATAAAAATACTAGGTCTCAGGTATCCGACACCACAAAAATACTAGGTCTCAGGTATCCGACACCACAAAAATACTAGGTCTCAGGTATTCGACACCACAAAAATACTAGGTCTCAAGTATCCGAAACCACAAAAATACTAGGTCTCAGGTATCCGACACCACAAAAATACTAGGTCTCAGGTATCCGACACCACAAAAATATTAGGTCTCAGGTATCCAACTCAGTAAAAATACTAGGTCTCAGGTATCCGGCCCAACAAAATTATTAGGTCTCAGGTATCCGGCTCAACAAAATTACTAGGTCCCAGGTATCCGGCTCTGCAAAAATACTAGGTCCCATGTATCCAGCTCATTAAAAAATACTCTGTCACAGGTATCCCAGGTATCCGGCTCAACAAAAATACTAGGTCCCATGTATCCAGCTTATTAAAAATACTCTGTCCCAGGTATCCGGCTCTGTAAAAATACTAGGTCCTATGTATCCAGCTCATTAACAAATACTAGGTCCCATGTATCCAGCTCATTAAAAATACTCGTCCCAGTTATCCGGCTCCGCAAAAGTAAATTTTGAGCTCACATGTCTGATAAAATTATCAATATTTTTTTAATAATTAAAAAGTCTTGAGGCCGACTTTAAAGAATTTGAGCCGCGTCTCAAATCAGCCAAAAACCGGTTTCAATTAAGCGCCGACTTAAATCTTGTAACATTGAATACAATTTTAATTGGAACCAACCATATTTGAGCCGCGTCTCAAATTTAAGCCGCAGCTCAAATTCTTTAAATTCGGCATCAGACTTCTTATTTTAAGTTGGTCTAAACCGTGGAACTTGTATTTATTTTAAAATAAAAGCCTGCCCTTTATGTTCTGGAGTTACCTTACTTTTGCAATTATTCTTTTTTATTTATACTTTTTTGTTTGAAAATTTTACTCTCCGCTTGTTTACCAGAAGTCGGGGTTTATATCACTACAATGAAGGCGATTTTTTTATTTAAGTTTTAATTACCAACAAGCTTTTTCCCAATTACAAGTTCACTTGTACGTAAATAAAGAGAAGCTGTTAATTGCCAGCTTCTTTTAGTTTCCATGTTTTCTATCAAATGCTGTTTAAAAGTCGTTTTCCTTGTATGATGATATAAAACGACCACTGTNAAAAAGAATTTTGTTTTTACCCCTAGATTGAATATAATAACCTGCGACAGGGAAGGGATAAGTAATCAGAAAAAATACCCCGGAATTAAGGGAAAATCTTGTCTCACCTATGTTTATCCAGCATTTTCTTTGTTCCCTCTCGTTTCTTGAGCATAGATTTATCAGGTTGAATTCCTCCTCGAAACCAGAAAGCCTCGTTCCGAGCATCGTAATCCTCAACTAGAAACACAATCAGATCATTGTTTAGAATCCACAACTCTTTGAATTACTGGATTCAAATCCACAAAAATATACGAATCCGAAAAGTGAAATGTCAACCAAAACCGTCTCAACAAATTCTTTGCCCTAAAACCACGAAGATTATCTGTCAACTACTGAAAGATGATAAAGCAAAGCACTTCCCAATCTATGTATGGTTCATGGAGTGAAAATAAGCGAGAAAAAACTATAAATTTTTCATATGTTTAAAACATTGTAAACCTCGAAGAAATGATCATAACCTTGATCCGGATCTGGTTTTGGACCCGGATCCACATCACAATGAAAGATACTAAGGGCTGGAATAAATATTATCAACTTTTGAGAAATAAATTAGCAGATACATCCAATAGGATTACAAGAATGTCAGAAAATCCTCTTTCACTTAGTGCCAAATTTTGTAGAACCGATATTCGTAAACATTTTTTTAGCCAAAGAGTTGTTTCTACATGGAATGATTTACCCTGTTATATAAAAACTGCACCAACGTTAAATACTTTTAAATCCAGATATAAAAAATATGTTAAAAATTTTTAATCTAGTTTATTTTGTTGGGACAAAAAGAGCCAAAAAAAATCACTTTAAAATAAAAAAGAAAGGCCAAATAAGAAAAAAAAATAATCTAATAAAAAATTTTAAAAAATAAGAAAACTATGATTAAACGTTTAATATCATGCTTTAAATCCAGTGTTACCTGAGTCTCGAATATGAGGATGACTAGAAGAAAGATGGGAGTACAAAACCTCGTGGATTTTCTTCACAAGATTTCGCGAAAAAATATTTTCTGGAAAAATAGTTCTTTAGCAATTAGCAATCTCTGGCTGTCTTTTTGTCTTACTGTTTGAATGTCCCATCAAAAGTCATAAACCCCTTAACCGTTTTGTCTCAAACAATGATCTGGTAATTCGATAAAAACATGGGCTGGCATTTACAGAAGAAAGTATAGTTTCCAGGTAAAGCTGGGTTCCAAATCTGCTCTTGATAATGGGGGTCATGTTAAAATATTGATAACTTCTACCTTTTGTGTAAGCAGCCCAAGAATCCGCCGTATTCGCAAACTTTTCACTAAACAAGAAAATTATGAGTTTTTAAAATTTAAAATTTCTGAATACTTATCCATAAATATTTAATGTTCATGAGAACCGTAAACTTACCTAAAACGTATTTTGTCATTTGTAACATATTTCCCGATTTCTCGAAACTGAGATTCGTCACGCACTACCATTTCTATCAAAGGGGCAACCTGGAACAGATAATTAATATCAAAGAACAACCCAAGACAGATATTCAATAACAGGAGGGCAATCCGGACAGATATTCAATAACAGGAGGGCAATCCGGGACAGATATCAATAACAGGAGGGCAATCCGGGACAGATATCAATAACAGGAGGGCAATCCGGGACAGATATCAATAACAGGAGGGCAATCCGGGACAGATATTCAATAACAGAGGGGCAATCTAGAACAGAAATTCAATAACAGAGTGGCAACTTGAAATAGTTATTCAATAACAAAGGGGCAACCTGGAACAGATATTTAATAACAGAGGGGCAACCTGGAACAGGTATTCAATAACAGAGGGGCAACCTGTACAGATGGTCAATAACATAGGAGCAACCTAGAGCAAAAAATCAATTATCAAAAGGGCAATCTGGGACAGATATTCAATAACAGGAAGGCAGAGAGGCAACCTGGAATATTTAAGAAATTATATTAACCATTCTTCTGAAAGCATCCATTCAGCTATGGAAATAATATGCGTACCAATATGAGACAGTCTAGATAAAACTACTTTAATTAATAAAAGGAAATAAGCAGTTTCTTTTTGATGCGGATTCTAGATCTTTCCAGTAAAAACGAGGATCCGGATCCAAATTTGCTTATTTATCATACTCTCAGTAACCCAAGTAATTTGGAGCCGGATCCGGATTTACGGAGATGAAATTATGCAGATTCGGACAGGGCTTAAATAAGAAAACATATTTTACCTCGGCAAGAATGGATTTAGCTTGAGTATCTAGAACTTGATTATGAAAGTATTCCGGTAACCCCTGCTCTACATGTGTCCAGGTTGAAAACTTAGTAAAATCTAAATATCAGTATTTTAGGTGGACAACTATATATATATATATATATATACTTTGCTTGTCTGTCTGTCTGAACCGATCAGGACCAACTTTTGTGTGGGGCATGGCATGACCCAAGGAAGGTTTGTGGATACTCAGAATTACAAAAAGTTGTATTCAACAGCATTAGATTTTTGTGAAATTTAAAAAACTTGGATTTTAAGGGCGCTTCGTGCCCTACTTCTATTTCAACTTTTAATTGTGGCTTTATCTGTGCGCATTTTCTCTTTGTACTGTATAAAAACAAACAAAAAATTTGCGGATTTCAAAATTTTTCGCGCATTTTCAAAATTTTAACGAAATAAAAAACTTTTAACCATTCATAACCCTTCCTTTGGGTCACGTGAGATTCCACACAAAGTATGGGCCCGGTCGGTTCAGTCGTTTTGACGTTTATTGGATACAAACAGACAGACAAACAAATATATAAAATGCGCGAAAAAATATTTGAAAATCCTCGAACTTTTTTGTCATTGTTTAAACTGTACAAAGAGAAGATGCTCACAGATAGAACCACAATTAAATGTTAAAATAGAGAATGTGCGCGAACATTGACAGAGCTGAATTTATTAAACATAACTATTGATAACACTATTATTTTGTTTTGCAGTTTTTAATTCCAAAACTTTGTAACACGTCGTGCCAAAATAAAAATGTGTTGTGTTAGTGAAATGTTTGTGTACTTGTCTTGCAGTAATTATTTCTGGACATAATAAGCTTATTAACAAATAAAAGTTTTATTTCATCTTATTTTTATTTTCATTGCAAACAATTTTCGTCTTCTAATTTTTTTTTGAAAAATCTGGGAACCAATAAAACTTTACAATTAAACTTTTAAGTACTATAATAAAATTTTACAAAACGTCTATTGTGAAATTTGACATGATGTTACCATGATTGATAAAGAACAAACTTTCAACGAGCTTAAAGCAGGAGATGGATTAAAAAATTATTCTTTTTTTTTACCAACTTCAATTATACTCAGAAAAATGTGTCAGGTCGCCTTATTCATAATTGAAAAAAAACAAATATGCGTAAAATTTTAAATATCAATAAAGTTGAAAGATCCAACGCTCGCCTTTGTCAAAAAAAAATACTTTTCCACTTTACTTTCATTAAAAATATAGCAAGAAGTGAGGGGGGGGGAGGTTACCTAACAGGTCTGCTGGAATCTTATCTGGTTGCATTATGTAAGACCACCATCCATAATATTTCGGCCGGTTTATTTGATACATTTTTTCCTCTACTGTATCGCATTCACGAACCAAGTCCCTTGCTTTGGCCGCCGATTTTTCATCGTCTGTCCGATATCTAGATATTGGCGGATACATGGCTGTTTCGGAATATTCGTCAACTCTCTGGGGTCCATGAAGAAGACGAAAAGCCTGTAGACGAAAATCAGTTCGTCTCAGGACTGTTGAACTAGAAGAGCTGAGTGCCCGAATCATTTTGTCTAAATCTTCTGAAAATAGACCTACAGTTTAGGGGTCAGAGAAAAATAAAAATATTTACTTAATCAAAGCTGAAAACTTTAGAATGATGGATATCAAGATTAATGCTTAAACTCCTGGTTTTACTAAACCCGAGATTACTTTAATACGCATTCGATATCCAAGAAAGAAGTATAAAATTCAATTAATCATTGTATCATGTTAATATGTACTCTTTAACTTTTGAAACCCCGGTTTTTTGTTCTGATATTAATTGTGTCATATCAATTGAACTAAACATCGATTAGATAAATGTAAGTTTTAGATTAATGTTTGTTAAGACTCAATTAAAATGATGATAGTCCTAAAATGTGATAAAATATATTTTTTAATAGCTGTTCATATTAACATGATTAAATTTATATTTGCTCAAATGCTCTAAAAGATCAGTATCTTAACTTATCCTAACCCTAACCTAGTCAGTATTAATATTTATCTATTTTCTTAAAATATCTTAAAGTAAACTAGTATCAGACAAAGCGTAAGAGCAGAATAAATTTTTTCAGAACAAAAATAAATGATGTGCTCTAACAGTTTCTACGTGGCATTATGCACAGAATTCAGTCGTCTTCCAGTTTGTTGTTTTTGGGGCTAATTTTATTTTTTTTGGGGTGGGGGCTTTTTCAGTTTGATCAATATTTTATTTTAAATCTTTAATTGGGGTCAAATTTTTTTATTTATGGGCATTTTTAAATGTATTGAGGGGCATTATTTAAACTAAAAGGGGTTATTTTTTGTTTGGGGCAAACTTCTTAATTATTTTAGCATTATTGTAAAAAACTAGGGGCATTTTAGGGCTGTACAATTTAAAGTTACGGGCAAATTTATAAATTTGAACTATTGGTCGTTTGAATTGTTCAAGGGGCGTACGAGGTGGGGGGGCCTAAGTGCACTCGACCCCCCCCCCCCTACGCGCTTATTTTACATCTGCTTGTATTTCCCTTCATTAGGCAATCATACAATTTAAGTTATATTTTAAGTTTACTTTTTAAGTTTGCATCAAACTTTTAAACTCTAAAAAAGTAAAATTTTTATCTAATGTTTATCTAACTTTTAAATTTGAATATAATTGCTTGGTTCCTTAATTAAAAAGATCCCCCTGCAGGATATGATCACTACTGGATAATGAAGGAAAGTTAAATTAGTCTGAATAAAATGAAAATCAATGCAATTGATCCCAAGATTAACAAACGTACCCTTTCAACCTATAACAAAAATATAATATATATTTTGACGAAAATTTGGTAGTGTGGTGTAAAAAAACCAAAAAATATATCTCCCATATTTTTTACCGAAACACCCACGAAAACAAGAAGAATAACAAACAAAAAACAAATGTCCAAAATGTTACGATATAAAATGGAAAATGGCGAAAGAATCCAAAATGGGTATAAGATCGGAGCCAACACAGGCCACGAAAAAGCGGAAACCATCCAGAAGATATTCATTATTCCCATCAAGACGGAAGTGGGAGGGTTGGTTACCATCCCTAGTCCTCAGAGATATTTTGGAGAAATTCTAGTTCTTGTGTTTCGTTCTTTATCATTTCATGTATAATGATGATCATTATACACAGCTGAACCATGGTCATTAAACACAGCTGAATCATGATCATTAAACACCGCTGAATCATGGTCATTAAACACAGCTGAATCATGATCATTAAACACAGCTGAATCATGATCATTGAAGACAGCTGAATCATGATCATTAAACACAGCTGAATCATGGTCATTAAACACAGCTGAATCATGGTCATTAAACACAGCTGAATCAGGTCAGTAAACATAGCTGAATAATGATCATTAAACACAGCTGAATCATGGTCATTAAACACAGCTGAATCATGATAATTAAACACAGCTGAATCATGATCATTAAACACAGCTGAATCATGGTCATTAAACACAGCTGAATCATGGTCATTAAACACAGCTGAATCATGATCATTAAACACAGCTTAATCATGATCATTAAACACAGCTTAATCATAGTCTTAAACACGGCTTAATCATGATCATTAAGCACAGCTGAATCATGATCATTAAACACAGCTGAATCATAATCATTAAATATAGCTGAATCTTGATCATTAAACACAGCTGATTCATGGTCATTAAACACAACTGAAACATGATCATTTAACACATCTGAATCATTAAAATTAAACACAGCTTTATTATGGTCATTAAACACAGCTGAATCATGGTCGTTAAACACAGCTGAATCATGGTCATTAAACACAGCTGAATCATGGTCATTAAACACAACTGAAACATGATCATTTAACACATCTGAATCATGATCATTAAACACAGCTGAATCATGGTCATTAAACACAGCTGAATCATGGTCATTAAACACAGCTGAATCATTATCATTAAAAACAGCTGAATCATGGTCATTAAACACAGCTGAATTATGATCATTAAACACAGCTGAATCATGGTCATTAAACACAGCTGAATCATGATCATTATTGATATAAAGTGTGCATCTTCTCAACTGATTTCTCTTGGATCAACAAATTAAATTAAGGAACACACTTTGTTCAATAAAATTGTTAACCCAAGAAGTTAAAAATACTGCTAGCATAATGTTAAGATATAGATACATCCATGCAAAAAAGGCCATGCCAGATTTACAACCCTTTAAACCTTTGACCGATCAAGGACGGGTCTGTACATCGTTAAGTAAGTGGTCCATGTTGAAGACGTTCCCCAGCATAGGTTAGATGAACCAATGGCACATTCTTCCATAACGCAGAGGGAGTTTAGGATTTTCTGATTTCATATCTAGGAAAACTATTATAATCTTCCCATGATTGGAGCTCAGCAGCTGGTGGTGCTTTTTTATCAAAAAGCAAGCAAGAAAGATAAAAATCGGAACAAAAATAATTTTCTAAAATAATTACGCTCGAACCTAAGAAACGTAACTTTTTCAGAGGTAAGGTTTGTCTGGTGTAATACGTTTATCTAAATTGAAATTGCCTGATTATTTTTAAAACCTTTATCTGATCAGTAATGTGGCAGATAATGTCATTTTTGGTTAAAAAAATGTTAATTCCTATATTCTTGGCTACCTCTCCGTGTGTATTGGCCTGAGGGTACACTAGGGATAGTTTACTGATAAAGGATATCAAGAGATTATGGCCTATTCATACAGTACAAACATCAAATATGCAGTACGCTTTCGGAGTACACACGTGTATGGGAGGGTTTTATATCTTGAATTTTACTCAGTTTTCTCAGAACAGTTTATTAACGATGAAATATTGCTCTGTAAAAGACTGTGAATGTAAGTCTTCCTGTGAAAATGGAATCCTGCATACAATAAAGGAGTAGTGGATTTTAATAGTTACATGGAAAACAAATTCTCCATTTAAATATTTTCAGAAATCCACCCCAAGTACTGTAATATACAGGTTGACCTTTGAAAGTGAAGTACATGGCCTGTACAATTAGTAAAGGATTAGCATACATCACCACTCTATATACTATAACCTCGTTGAGTAGAAACCACAATTGAATATTTTAAAAAAGAACATAATTATGAAAATTCATTAAAAACCTAAATATTTATTTGTATTTGTTACTAAATATTTATTTATCCTATAGCAAAGTAAAAAGTCCCAAAAATAATTGTGTTATAATATTCCAAATAAACTGAAAGACAGGACGGAGTAACTCAATAAACATGATGAAATTTACTCCGAACAAGAAGGTGGGAAACAGGAGTTCCATCTTGCTCAAGTTAAACTCAGATTCAGCAGATGTAGACTCTAGGGCTTCGTTGATGGTTTCACGGGATATGGCATTGTTTTCAGAAAGTTCTCTTTTAGTTCTTGTATTTCTATCTCGATCATTTTTTGAGTCATGATCATGAAACACATCTGAATCATGATCATTATACACAGCTGAATCATGATTATTAAACACAGCTGAATCATAATCATTAAACAAAGCTGACTTATGATCATTAAACTCAACTGACTCAAGCTCATTAATCACAACTGACTCACAATCATTAAACAAAGCTAAATCTTGACCACTCAAAACAGCTAGCTCAGTTAATGGATCATTTACAGCTTTAGCAGAAAAACTATCTTTTGCAGCAAGTTCAAAATCTGCAGGATCACTTTTAAAAATTTCATCTCTTATAAAAATGCTATCACCAGCATTATGCAGTTTATGATTAAAATGTGCATTGGCATTTGTTGAAAAAATGGCTCCTGAATGCAGAAGAAGGCAAAAGAAGGTTTTCATCATCTTATCTAAAATAAAATTTATTACAGTGTTAGGCGGTTATTTCAATACAATTAAGACGACTTTTTTTAAATTTTGATTGATAACAAGCTTTTATCGAATAACATGTTTACAAGTAATCAAAAAAAGCTTTTCTCTTAAAGGGACTGTAAAGAAAAATGAAAGGGGGTATAGGCTGAAAGCTAATCACCTTAGCTCTCGATCGCGGCCCATGCAAGTTATATCTAATGTTCCTATCTCGAGAAATTGATATACAACTGTGTCAAATTTATACAAAAATTAATATATATACAATTTTGTATAAAAGTACTGGGTTTAAATAGATTTAGGTTTACTCCAATTCTAATTTTATATTTGTTATTTCTATTTTTAATAGATTTAATTCATGATATTATTTACAAGTCCGTATTTCTAGACCAGAAATTCCACCAATGACAGTGCAGTAAAGCGGTCACGTGATACAGGCAGAGATACGTTGCCATTGATGATAGTTCTGGTCACGTGATTTAAGTTTAAGATTGTCTAAATTTTACATATATGAACTTTCGTATAATTTTAACACAGTTTTATATCAATTTCTCGAGACAGGAACATCAGATAAAACTTTTATGGGTCGCAATCAAGAGCTATAGTGATTAGCTTTCAGCCTATACCCCCTTTCATTTTTCCTTTACAATCCATTTAAGAATTTCTCTTGACTCCTAT